CTGAACTTATAATTTTTATTTGTATCTTTAGCGCTTGGGATCAAGTTTACATGGGGAAAACCTCGACTTTTAGAACATTAGGTGATTTAGTTCGGAAGATGGTGATTAACATGATATATTCCTGCATATAAATCTATGTTGGGTGGAAAAGTAGTATATGTAGCTATTTACTTCACATAGATGGATGGATGTTTACTGTAAAAGGACCAAGATTGGCTGACATGCCATATTTTATTCTTTAAACCCACATTTCTGCTTAGAACTCAGAGCTGTATAAATGTGCCTAGGAGCAATGAGTTTCTCACTTCTCTTGCCTGCTGGTTGCAATTAAGCCTAAAATTTTCGTAAACATTTAGGAAACGAATTGAGTAACGAGCTTCATTTTTACGGTCTTGTGTGCCTTCAGCTTTCCGTGTTGTTTAATGCAATATGAGTCTATAAAGGTCTTGAGAGGAGGGATTGCTTTGTGCTCTTTTATTTAAAAGTATATTTTGCAGAAAATATATATCATGTTGATTAATATCAAATGCGTTACTATCTCTGGAAGTCATCTTGTACCGTGCACCTCTATTTACCCCAAATAGTTCATACTGCATAGCAGAAAATTTGCACACATCTCATTTTCGCATCTTCAATTCTTATCTCTTTTCCTGCCACTCTACTGCACATCTACCCAACTATTTTTCTTAATGCATCGATTCATTTTTCATGGTTTGACATGCAAATTTGCGGAAGAAACGAAATTCTAGTTGATGGTCGGCTGCTGGAGCACTTTATTTGTTCGAACTCCATATTTACTTTATCTTTGCTTTCCTTCTATCTCAGTTTATGTCTCAGTAAAAGAATTGTTGACTATTCTCTCATTTGCATCTGATTGGTGCCTGAATATGAGGCATGTTGCATATTGTAAAAGGATCTTCAGTCTTCTTTATGACTGAATATGTGCATGTTGGATTTTACAATATAGGTGATTCCAAAATTTTAAAAAAAAGTCCAGAATATGAATTTCAAGTTATGTTGGAATCTACCTTCCAAAGGGTCTGGACAGAACTTGTTCAGGTCTCTACTTTTAACATGTTGTTTCCACTCTGAAACATAACTTAATTATTCAAAGCAGTGAAAACGATCTTCTCTGGGCCTACAATTACTCGATTTCACTAACTTTTAGTAGCATTTTTTTGAAAAGCTAGCTTTGAACGGTATAGGAGATTTTTGGGATATCCATAAAGATCCTCAAGCTGGTAGGGACTTCCTATTGTCTTCTTTGGTTGAAGAACTGGCCTAAACATCAAAACCTGTAACATAGTCTTGCTTCCTCAAATTCCCCCATTTTGCAGATGTTCTCTGGTCACTGAGCTTTGTTCATCTTTTTTGGCACTGCAATAGAAGATGCAAGGATGTACTTTTTCTGTTCTTGACTCCTGAAGCCAACAACTTGGTTTTCCTTGGTTTTGGTTTTTTTTCACATGGCTATAAAGTCTTTCCTTCAGGGTTCCCTCTAAAACCTTTGGCAAGCTTTGTACCTCTCCGGTCTTGTTCCCTAAAAAAATACCTTAGCCTTACAACTCTTGAATATTATTTCACTATGTTCTTGTAGTTTTTTATATGAAGTTCCTTTATGCTATTTTTAGTACTCAGACATAAATAAGACAACTTTCTAGTTGTTTAACCCTGCTGCTGTTGTTTGGACTTTCATATGATTCTGGTGGAATATATTTCTGGTTTATGCATTGTAAGACTGTGTTATGAGCATTTTTTCTGTTTTAATTGGTCTTTACAGGACGTAAACAAATCAGGTCCACATTGTGAAAGTTGTGGGTTGAGTCTTCCATCTAAAAGGGCAAAGAGACTGAAGCAAGATAAGCAACAATTGTTCTGTAGACATTGCACAAAGGTTTGTATGAGTATGCTATATTCCTGGCACGTTACAAAATTCTTCCGAAGCTATTTAGATTTTCGATTAAATGTGATTTTCTCCATTACTTTTGTGTTTTGATTGTGCATCTTATCCTAAAATTACAGCTATTGAAGTCAAAGCAGTATTGTGGCATATGTAAGAAAATTTGGCATCATACAGATGGTGGAAGTTGGGTAAGTTGATCTTCCGTATGATTGAGTATTGTTCATGTTCTCCCCTGCAAAAAAATGTTATAGTTATGCTCAATATGATAACACATGTGCTTTCAATTAGGTCTGTTGTGATGGATGTCAAGTTTGGGTTCATGCAGAATGCGACAAAATATGTGCTAACAT